TCACTCGTTTGTGGTTCGTCTTTCCCCCCCAAACCCTTCCCCTTCCCCTTTGGACTTTGGATGCCCTCCGGCAGTGCATTCCTGATTTCCTTACATATAGTTCCTCCCTCCCCTCCCCTCCCCTCCCCCCTCCCCCCTCCCCCCTCACCGCCTTCATCTCGTGCCCCCCCTGCAGCAGTCCCTGCCGCTGTTCAAGCTCGCGACTGAACCAAGTCTGCAGGACGCCTGGGCAGCAGCGGTAGCAGTGACAGCAGCAGGTGGCGGCGCCGCCGGCAGCGGCGGCGGCGGCGGTGGCGGCGGCGGCTGCACGGCGCCCTCCCAGACAAGCTGCGCCGCCTCCGTCGCGGGTTCCTTGGTGAGCCACTTGAGCAGTGGCCGCCTGCGCGACAGCTCCTCCGCCGCTGCCTCTCCTGACCCGGGGGGGGGTCGGCCTCTCAGCCCCACCAGCCGGCGGAGGTACTCACATGGCCCACCTTCGGCTTCGGCTTCGGCTTCGGCTTCGGCTGGAACAGGTGCGGATCGCTGGCAGCAGCAACCTTTTGTGTGTGTCTGTATGGAGTGTATGGAGAGTGTGTGTGTATGGCGAGTGTATGTTTGTGTATTTAAACACAAACTGAGCCGCGGGGTATCTAATTGTTGTTTTTGGAGAAGAAGAAAGTCTCACACATGGAGGGATTGCTTCAGGGTGTAATACTCCAGTGTAATACTCCAGCGGTGGAGTGGTGGAGATGATGGCTTTGAATTTCTGTAAAGAGAGTTGTGTGATGTTTTCGTGAAGAAATGGGAATGGCGCCAGGGTGAGAAGAAGGGGAGGTGGGTGTGGTGAGAGCTGTTCGTGTTTTGCGGGAGAGGTGAGGTGAGGTGAGGTATGGGGTGAGCTGCCCTTCCCTTCCAACAGACGGCAGAACCTAGCTCGCAGTTGCTAGAAGTTGTTTGGGGCTTTGGGGGGCTTTTTGGGGGGGGAGGACGAGAGTCGACCAGTCAATCAGTTAGTCAGTCACTCGGGTAACAGCGGTACAAATCCGCTGCCCAAATTCACACACACACACACACACACGCACACACACACACACACACACACACACACACACACAGCTGCGGCTGCCACGCCGCCTACAAAGGTAAAATAAAAAAAAGCCAAATATCACCCGGAAAGGCCTTGTCTTGAGAAGTGTCAAAGTGGAAATCTGAACGTTTTTTTTTACTGGGCCCTTCGCCTTTCCGGGGCAATTCACCGGATGTCTCCCTCCCGCACCCTCCTCCATAAAACCTGTCCGTACATGCCGTAAAAAACTGCACCTTGCAGACGGCGTCTCGGCGCTCCTTTGGGGTCCTGCGGCGGCGGCGGCGGCGGCGGCGGCGGCTGGCAACGCATCCGGAGCAGCGGGGCCCCTGGAGCGCGCCAGCCCCTGCCAGGTCGTCGACATCCGCCGCCATGCCCTACGTGCCCTGCAGCGTCTTGTGGGGTACTGGTCGGTCACAGCGCGCAGCGAGGCGGAGCTGGCGGATGCGGTGCCGGGGCTGCTGGCGGAGCTTGAGGCGGAGCTTGGTACGGCGACTCGTACGGCGGCGGCGGCGGCGCCGCCGCCGCCGTTTGGAGACCCTCGCGGCATCGTCGGATCGCAGGATCGGGAGCAGCAGCAGCGGCAGGAGCCGCTTTCCTGTCGTACTGGTGGTGCTCGATTAAGTCGTCTGGCTGGGACGCTGCCGCCGCTGCCGCAGCCCCTGCCGCCGCCGCTGGGTGACGTGGTCATGTTGTCGTACGCTGGCGGCAAGGCCGCCGGGGGTGCTGGGGGCTCCACTTCCACCTCCACGGCCTGCAGCACCCCCCGTGACGGCGGCGGCTCCGGTGCTGGTTGCGAGCCGCACACGGCGGTTTTGAGGCGCGTTGTGCAGGTGGGGAAGAACTGCGAGGCTGGTTGTGTTGGTGTGTGCTTGTGTGTGTGTTTATGTGTGTGTGTATGTTTATGTGTGTGTATTTCAGACGAGCCGTACACGCGTGTATGGAGGAGGGTTCTGCACCTCCTCCTTTGTCTCTCCTACTCGTATCTCCCTCTTCTATATCCCCCTCCAAACCCGTCTCCCCGTCCCTCCCTCTACCCGCATTCCCCCCCAACACCAACCAACTCAGCACACCTCTAAAGCCATACCGCACCACACACCCTTTTCAACCGCGCACCCGCACAACCCTAACAGCCCCTAAAACACACACACACACATTTTCCAATCATCACACACATCATCTGCCCCCTCCCCCCCCTTCCCCCTCCTTCCACCTCCCCCCTCCTTCCCCCTCCTTCCCCCTCCTTCCCCCTCCTTCCCCCTCCTTCCCCCTCCTTCCCCCTCCTTCCCCCTCCTTCCCCCTCCTTCCCCCTCCTTCCCCCTCCTTCCCCCTCCTTCCCCCTCCTTCCCCCTCCTTCCCCCTCCTTCCCCCTCCTCCCCCCTCCTCCCCCCTCCTTCCCCCTCCAGCCGTATCAGAGTCTATATATCCTCCAAGGAGGCATCAGCTTCACTTCTGTTCACTTGGTGGTTCATCTTACCGTCCTTACCCCTTTTCTCCCTCCCCCCCCCACCTCCTCCCAGGTGTGTTGCAAGCTGATGGTCCGTTCTGAGTCTCCCCCTGAGCGCACCTCCGCCACCGCCGTGGTCGCCACCATCATGGGCCTCTCTGAGGAGATGGCGGCGGTGCTGGCGCTCACCCTGCCGCAGCTGTTGGACAGGTAGGAAGGATGACGATGATGAACGCGGCCGCCAACGGAGGCGCTGGTGCTGCCTAGAGGCGTTGGAGGGGGAGGCGCCCGTTATGTGGGGGGGCCACAGTGGCGGCGTGGGGGCGCTGTCTGTAGGTGTGGCGGCGTGGCGGCGTTACATGCATGGCATGTTTTGGAAGGGGGGACGTTGCGGTCGGAGGATTGAAGGACGTGTGCGCGGCCAGTAGGGTCTGGCTGATGAGGTTGTCAGGAGTTTGATTAGCTGTGGTGGTGATGGTGGGTGGTGATTGTGACGCTGGTGGTGATGATGATGATGGTGGTGGTGGTAATGTAAGAAAGTCAGTTCAGCTTCTTGAGTTGTGTTTTTTAAAGGGTGGTGGGTGAGGCATTGGCTGTGCGCAACCCGGCCCACATCCCCACATCCCTCCGGCCGCGGTATTGCAGCTCTATCCCCGTCTCCCTTAGCCAGGAAAAAAAAGGAAGGAAGGAAGGCCGGTGAAACGCTGTTTACGACTCCGCCGTACACCACACCCCGCATCCTTCTTTTTTCGTTTGAAGGCTTTTGGACGTCATGGGACTTCTGGCGGGTGGCGGCACCGCCGCCGCTGCAGGCACCCTCGTAGATGCCGTTAACGGCGGCGGCGTCGGCGTCGGCGGCGTCGGTGTTGGCGTGTCCGTCGCCGCTGCTGCCGCCAGCGTTTTGCGGTTAGACAAGCCGGCCGCCGGTAGCGGCGCCGGCGGCAGTAGTAGCGCTGGCGGCGGTGCTGGCGGCGGCGCTGGCGGCGGCGGCGGCGGCGCCGATGGCGTAGTAGCGGAGCTTCAGGACCGGCTACAGCTAGACGCGGAAGCGAGCTTGACGGCGCTGGAGGTGCTGCTACAGCTGGCACACAGCACCTGGACGCAGGTGCTACTGCGGAGCGGTATTTATCTGGGGTTCCAATGGGGGTAATGATATCCACCACCTGATGGGGGGAAAGACCCAAAGCAGTGGTTGCGTGGGATGTGTGTATGTGTGTATGTGTATGTGGGGGCCCCCCCGGGCGCCTGTGCAGCCCGCCCTATCCGCGACATCAGTAGAGACATGTATCGGCATATAGGGCCCACAAATTCGATGATGTGTGTTGTATATGCTTCTTGGGCTTGTAGTACTGCCGTACGGCACAAACGAGCCAAGACACGCTTATGAGCCTCAACAAAAGCCCGTTAGTTCGTCAGGTAGTCGTTAAGGTTCGTTGTAATACGGCCGCTGTTACGTAACTATAGTTACAAGTTACAAATTACAAGTTACAAGTTCCGCACACAAGTGCGGGTGTGTCCGTAACTAAAGCAACGGTAGCAACGGCAGCGGTCTTGTTCTCCTCGCCCCGTAACATACAAATATATATTGTCGTCAGGGATATATATATATGTATATATTCCTGACGCAGTACCTGTGTCCAATCCTGCAGTGCCGGGAAATGTATCTCTGGTATCTGCTTCAATTGTGGTTCAGTGGTTCGTGTTCCCCCCTCGCCCGTCACCCTAGGCCCGGCTGGCCAACCACCCACGTCTGGCCGAGGCGCTGGACGCCCTGCTGGAGGCGGACGCGGTGGCCACCTTGAGAGCCCTCCTGGAAGCCCAACAGCAGCAACAACAACAGCAGCAGCAGCAGCCAGGTCAAGGCCAACAAGCTCCGCAGGGACAAGGACAGGCACCTGGGGGGCCCCATGGGGGGGCCACGACAACGACAGCACACCAACAGCAGCAGCAGCAGCAGCAGCAACAGCAGCAGCAGGCGGGAGGTGGACTTCGGAACCAAGGCCCCGGCCCCGGGTCAAGCCAGCAGTCATCACAACTGCCGCACCTGCCGCAGCTGCCGCCGTCTCAGATATCCGGAGGGGGAGGAGGGGGGGGTGGAGGGGGTGGAGCAGGGGGGGTTGAGGGGGTTGGAGCGCTGGGGGAGCCGCGAAGGAGTTCGGAGGCGGCTCGGGGCGCTGGGGAGGGTGCTGGAGGGCCTGGAGGTGCGGGTGTGGCGCAATATGCGTGTGTGTTTGTGTGTTTGCGTGTTTGTGTGTTTGTGTGTTTGTGTGTTTTTGCGTGTGTATATGCTCCCCTGCTCGTGTTTAAATTACTTTCCGTTGCGTGTGGAAACGGGGGAGGGGGGCCCGCGCTTGATGCGGATTACTGGACTAAGCCACAGGAAGGAACTGGGGGGGGGGTATGGCAGACGGCAGACGAGTAACGTCCGTACCCTTGTTTCTCTGTGTGTGAAGGTATATGTACGCATGTATGTATGTATGTATGTGATGGGACGTAAGAGGCAAGTGCGCTACTTGCAACGCGTATACATATCCGTGTGCTGCTCGGGGGGGGGGCCGCGGTCGCTGAGACGTGAGACCCCGAAGGAAGCATTTATCGCCCCCCCGCAATGGCGCTTTCGCGCCTGTGCATTATGTGCACGGCACGTCAACATGTGTCGTACATGTATGTATGTTCGACATGTCTTAATGCGTCGTACGTTCTGCATACACGGCGCGTGTCCTTAAGAGTTAGTCCTCCCATGTCGCCGCCACGCCGCCCATCACCTCACCGTTTTCCCTCCCCCTCACTTCCCCTCCCTTTTTCTCCCCCTTTCTCCCCCCATCAACATACACACACGCGCATACACGCACGCACACACGCACGCATACACACATACATACGCACATACATACACATACACATACATGCACACGCACACGCACGCGCAGGCGCCCCCCAGCTGTCCCTGTCTCTGGCCAGCAGCGGCTCTCTAGTTCCCGGTGGGGCCGGCGGCCCGGTGGACGTCCGGGTGCTGGGGGCGCAGCTGGTGGTGGCCCTGGCGCCTCACACCGCCCGGTCGCTACTGCCGCCCCCGGGGGCAGGAAGCGGCGGACTCATCAAGTAGGGTGGGAGGGAGGGGGAGGAGGAGGGGGAGGATTCATACTGAATAACTTTTCTTTTCATTTTTGCTATATTTATAAGTTTTTATTGATTTAAAGGATGTCAATCGGTACAATTTGTCAATGGCAAATTTTTTTGCATGTCAATTGGTAGAATTTGTTTTGTACCTCGGCTTTTTGCGCTAGAGCAAGGGGTTTCTGGGGTTGAATTATCCGCTACCTCCCGCGCCACCTCCACAATCCATGTCATGTGTTGCCATGTTGTCCATGTCCATGTCCATGTCCCAGCTTGAGGTCCGCCTAGTCGGGGGCTCCTGAACCGCATTTCCCCTTTGTTTGCCCCTCTCCGGGCTTTCTTTACCTCCCCCCCCACCTCCCCCACCTCCCCCCGGTGTCAGTTCTGCTTCCGGCTTGTGCACTCTTTTCCCCCCTTGGCAGCAGCTTCACTCGTTCACGTGGTTCGTCTTTCCCCCTCCTCCTCCTCCTCCTCCCCTCCTCCCCCCCTCCCCCAGCGCACTGGACTCCCTGGTCCGCGAGGGGGGTCGCGGTCCCCAGGGGCTCAGTCTGGGCCTTCAGGCGCTCTGGGTGCTGGTGGCCTCTCCAGGGGGGGCGGCGGCAGTGGGCGCCTCCGCCGTACCACGTAGCCTGGTGGCGGTGATACGACAGGTCCAGGGAAGCCCGACGGCGGGAGGGCAGTCGGCCGGGCCGACGGGGGCGCTGGACATGGGGATTAGAACCCAGGTCGGATGTTTTTGGGGGGGAAGGGGCTGGGGGTGGGAGTGGGTGGGTGGGTGGGTGATTGGTTGTATGTGGGGAAGTGGGAGTGGGGAAGTGGGTTGGTTGGGCCCGCGGATGCGCTGGGGTGGGGTGGAGGAGGGTGATGCTGAGAGGAAGCCCCTCCCTTCCTTTCCTTTTCTTTTGAAATCCCCCGTGACAAAATACCCCCGTGCCCAAACCCTGCGACGCGCCTCTCCCGAACCGGGGGCCCGGCCAAAAGGCCGTGGGTGTGCTGGCGGCGCTGGTTCAAGGACTCGAGGGTAGCGGCGCGTCGTCCCTGGCTGCGGTGGAGGGCCTGGCGGCGGCGCTGCTCGATGTCATGGCGGCAGCGGCGGACCTGCTGGCTCGCTGTGTACGGCAGAGCGGCGGCAGCACCGGGCCCGTCGTACCGCCATCTTCCTCCTCAACGGGCGGTGGCGGCGGTCAGGGATCGTCGCCCAAGGCCGCCGCCGGCGGTCCCGGGGGGGGCGGCAGCAGTTGGGGGGTTCTTCAGAGCAGCAACGGTGAGTTGCCTGACGTAGCGTTGCTTGATCAGGCAGCGCATCAGCTGCTGTGGAGTGTGGCGGCGGTGGCGGTGCTGTCGCGGAGTGCGGCGGTGGCGGCTAGGTTCGCCAGCCTCAAGGCGCTACAGCCGGCGCTGCTGGCAGCCCTCAAAGTAAGAAGTTACGGGAGGAAGGGGGGGAAAGGGGGGGAAAGGGGGGGGAGGGGGAGGCAATTATGGTTGATGGTGGTGATGGTGGTGATGGTGGTGATGGTGGTGATGGTGGTGATGGTGGTGATGGTGGTGATGGTGGTGATGGTGGTGATGGTGGTGATGGTGGTGATGGTGGTGATGGTGGTGATGGTGGTGGTGATGGTGGTGGTGGTGGTGGTGGTGGTGGTGGTGATGGTGGTGATGGTGCAAGTGGAAACAGAGGGTGGCCGACCGTCAAGGGGAGAGGGGAGAGGGGAGAGGGGAGGGGAGGGTATGTGCAGTCGGCATGGCGCGGGGAGGAGGTGAGAAGGAGGACCCTCTGGCGGTTGTTTCGGTTACCGCATTTTTGTCCGCTCTGCCGTCCCGTCTTTTCCCGTCGCGCGCACACTCCCCCATCACCACATACATACACACATACATAACTACACAAATACATTAATACATTGTCCTCCCCCATGTCAACTCTTTTGGAGCTGAAGGAGGCTTTCCTCTTTTTCCACATCCACATCCACATCTGCCATCCCGCCCTCTCCCCTCCTCCACTCTCTTTCTGTCTAACTAACCCCCGCCCCCTCT